ATTCTTCTATTGTCACTTTTGTCATTGCCACTACCTCACCAACATTGACCATCCTTTAACCGAAGTAACACCAATCCACCACTCCTTCATCCATTTTGTCACAAGTAAGGAAGACTTCCCCAACCTTAACATAGTCTATAAGGAGCTACTCCTAAAACTCTATCGCCATCTTGTACAACAATTATAAGCCTTAGTTAAGGAGTGAAAGAAATAGAGAACCAAGAATCAACTAGGAAAAAACCCTAAGAAGCCTTCCTCAATAGCCCTTGATCAACCTCGATCGATAGAGTTCCTATCATAGCCACCAAATCCTCAAACACACTATTGCTTGATTGTAATGTTACCATACTCACTCAATGCCAGAATAGTAGCCACATATGATAAGAAGCAAAGAGCTCAATACCATCTTAAACAACCTTTAAAAACTTGATGACCCATAGACTTCGATTGCCGAAGAATAAACTAACCTTAAACCTAGGGATATTTTTCTCATTACTCTCAAAGTTTAATTTTTTTTAATTTTTATCAATGTGAAAGAATGATTGGTTGGATTTTTGTCTAACAAAAAAGAAAATATTCTCTTTTATTATAAGTGATGGCTCTTATTAGATAATTATAAATTTTCATATACTTATTATATGCTCAATTATATTTGTACGTATCCCATTTTAGTTGACAATATCAAAACTAAATAACTTGTACACTATTACATAACATCTTCAAGTTTAAAGACTTTTTGTGAATTGTGCATAAAATAATCTTTTCTTCTGATAGTGAATAATGTAAGATTACTTTATATTAGTCCAATTCAATATTTATCTTCTACAAATACTCACTATGTTACTAAGGGCCTTTACCACTCTATCACCTATAACTACATGTGACAACCTAGTCAAATATATTGTCCAAAATATAATTATAATTGTGAACCATTTTAAAATCACAAAATCATATGTCCTCATATATGATCTAATAACAATTTAATAATAATATAATATTAACCAAAATTTGCATGTAACTAATATTGGCTTTGTAAGGCATATATTTCTTTTAGATCTCACCAACCAAAAAAAACTTACCATATCTAAAACTTGGAATTTCCAACAATGAGAATATTAAATCGACCAAAATAATTGAAGACCAGAAGCTCAAGTGTCAAAATTAAGAAAAACAATCCTAGTCAAAAACTCAAAAATCTTGTTTCGATTGGTTTTAATGTTCGAAATTTGGATGTTAGAATGAACTATAATGAATATATTGAGTTTTGGAAACAATTGAGCATAATTAACAAACTTCAAACCTATTCGGTATACTGATTTGGGAGTAATAGTTATTTAAACCACTACAAGATAGGTTTTTTTATAATTTGTTTATTTAGAAATTGCTATAAATTAAGTGTTTGATAAGTGTTCCTAACCACATGACAATCGGCAGCCCCCAAAAAACCCCCACACACCAAGGAGTGAAAATCCATACTTACCTCCTTGATCTAGAAGTAAATAGTTTTGGACTCTTGACACTTTAAATTATTCTTCTAATGTTGATTTAATGAAAGATGTAATGGAAATGTAATGAGTTTTTCATGCATGAAGTTAATTTCTAAAGATTTATGTTCTTGTGAAGATTTTAAATCACCCTTTCATGGAGTGGTTGTGGGTAGTATTGTTGCCTAGACATGCAAAATGCTACTGTAGGGATATGGTTCCAAGGTGGTTAGGCTATAGTAGCAACCTTGAGGTACAACCCTTGGTGATTTGTTGTAGATTTGTTACAAAGGGTGGTATTGTACCTACCAAAAAAAACTGACTATGTTATCTACACTCTAATTTCTACATGGTTTGCATAACTAGTGGTTTTAACGTAACTCAAAGAAAGAGTTGTGGATTAGCCAGTGAATAATGTGTATGAACAAAAGGGGAAAGGAAAATCTGAAGTGGAAGCAATAGGACTTGAGTCTTTGACGTTGTTACAAAAGCATGAATTACATTACCACTTACCCTACGAAGCGCCGATGTGGATAACTTGTATAGAAAATAATAAAAAAATAATACAAGTAGGAGTACTATATTTGCAACAATCAACTAAAGGTCTATATCAATTAGGTTTAAGCAATGATGCCAAAGGTCCAAAACTCAAATTGGTATTGTAAGAAGAGAAAATTTCGACATCAAAAGACACCAAAATTCAACAAAAAAGGAAAATTAGTTTTCGGCAGGTTTTTTTTTTTTTTTTTTTTTTATGAAATCTTGGCAAACTACTTGTGGCTGTTGTCACTACCTTTGCCTTCAAAAGTTACGTAAAATTAATATATATATATATATATATGTTAGTGTATATCAATCTCGATTCCTAAAATAATTGGAAGTCTCAACCTATATTTAGAAATTGAAATTTTAATTCAAAATTCAGAAATCCAATCAATTTCTAAATTTAAATATTAATATTTTATAAGATAGATTTTTAAATTTTAAATTGAGTTTTAATTAAATAAAACAACATAATTGAAGGTTAAAACTTTAATTTTTTTTTTTGGAACTAATATACATTTTTTTCACATATATATCACCCATCTACAACCACCTAGCACAAATTTATGCCTTCTTAAAGTTTCCTCCATGTGTTACACACAACTTCTTCACAAGGCAAAACCATAGGGGCTTTGGAGTAATACTTAGGAAATGTAACAAAACTATGCCGTTTTGATTTATATTAAAAAATAAAAATGATTTGTGGATGTGAAATTCCTAATTTCTAGCCACAAACGAGGGAGCTACTTTTTCACATTAAGGTTAGGCAAAACCCTTCTTAAACCTTCAAACTTACCCCAAAATAGCATTTAAGCCCCTAAACTAAAAATGAAACAAATAAGTCCCCCAATACCACTAATGATGCAAATAAGCCTTTTTCATTCATGGGCGTTTGTGCTTTTAAAGTGATATTAAACATCAAATATAGTTTGGCCCATCTATGAGGTGGGTTTGTTTGCATTGTTAGTAGAGTTGGAGGGCTTATCTACTTTGTTTTTAGTTTAGGAGCTTAAATGTTATTTTGGGATAAGTTTAGGGGCTCAAGAAGGGTTTTTGCCTTTAGGTTAAGGCTTCTATCCCCTTCACTAATCTTACTGAATGGAGATCTGCGATGGATGGCACTTGCTTGGGTAGGTGCACTTGAACGAGGAAACAAATGGGAAAAGATGAGGAAATCTGCATTTCATATATAAGAAATTCTATTTTTTGTTTTATGAATAGAAATTTATCCAAAATTCGTGTTATGAATACCTACAATTCTATCTCGCTGTCTGTGTTAAAAGGCTCGATTCTACTTCCATAATACCGGTAAGTCCATAAAACTCTTCTTCTTTTTTTTTCCCTAGTCCAATTCTTCACTTCATTGCCATGCTTGCCATAATTTTCTTGGTGTGTTGTGCTACTGTTCTGTTGGTCCTTGTAATCTCGTTGTTCTGGCGATTTGAATTTACTGTTTAAGGTATTGAATTTGCTTTCCTAATCTGATGGCTAATTCAAGCGTTCTCTCTCAAACCTTCCCTTCTCGTCAAGAGAATGATCTTCTTGCTCGAAGTGTTAAAAGGGTTAAGAATGTCAATCCGATCATTTCTTCTCCCATTCATGAAAAGCATATGGCAAAAGATGAAGCTAATCCCCTACCCTACAAAGATAAACTACTCTGCAATGGCGGTGTTGAAAGTTCAAATATAGATCTCTCGTTTGATGCATTTCCAAAATATCTGGATAAAGAATCAGATATTGATGATGATCTAGATGATCATACTCCTATTATTCTCTTTTCCAAAAAAGAAAAAAGATGCATGCGTGAGTTGCGGAAAAATGCTCTCATTGTCAAAACCTTTGGCAACACAGTAGGATATAACTTTCTCTATGGAAGCCTCAAACCCCAATGGAAACCAACAGGTAAATGAGATTGTATTAATTTAGGATATGATTTTTTCCTTGTTTGTTTTTAGGTGCACGAATATCTCATAAGTTCATCAATGGAGGTCCCTGGTTTGTAGGTACAAACTATCTTACTATGAGACCATGGGAACCAAATTTCCAGCCAAAAAACACTACCTTTTCGCACACTGTGGTGTGGGCACAGCTACCTTTTGTACATTTAAGTCACTACCAACTACAACTACTAGAGTCATTAATGTTGATTTCTAGACTCAATCAAACATTAATGAAGTCACTGAAAATACTACTACAGAGGGTCACAAGCTGGAAAATTCAAATTCAGTAGGTGGGTTAAGCAGTACTCAAGTTGCAGGTCATAATCATGCTTCTAATCCTACTTCTAATTTTGGGCACATTTTGGAGAATCAACCTGATAAGTTTGGTCTATGTCCAAAGTAGGTGTTGAAATATTCCCCTGAAGGAAAGAGCAGTGGCTCTAGGGAAACAAAGGACTTTTTGGAATCGAGTCAAAAAACTGGTTAAACAAACCAAATGAGTCAAAATTCAATCAAGATTGGGAAAGCTAATGGTACACCTGTAGGAGCATTTAATGCGAAAATGCAATTCAAACCTAGTAAGCAAACGAGCCAAAAACCCACCATTACCAATCCTATGAAAAATCACATGGACATAGGCCCAATGATGGAGCCGCATCCAAAAAAACTAGGTTAAATACCCTTTTTGGTCCCTCTACTATAGGAAAAAGCCCTTTTTTGGTCCCTCTACTGAAAAAATCCCTTTTTTGGTCCTTACTGTTCACAAATCCGGC